GACAGCTATGCCAATCTGCTGCAATCTGGGAAATGATTATATACAGTCCTAAAAAGCATCAGATCACTCCAATTTTAAGTCCCAGTTATGCCAACCTGCTGCAATCTGGGAAACGATTATACCATCGATGGAGGGGGAAGATTGCCATCGGGCATCACTGTAAAAATAAAGGGCTGCAAGATCCTGTCACGAAACAACTTGTTGAGCATCCCTGCACACTTCTCAATGGCCAGAATTTGAGTTCAAAGAATCTGTCCACATTATCAGAACCAATAAAAGAGCTCGACATCCTTTTGACACAGATTGCTGCAGGCATACCTTTGGACATCATGCCAGGAACCGATGACCATGCATACTTCTCCTGACCACAACCGGCTTTGCATGGATGCCTTTTTCCTGGATAATCAGCTTTTAACACTTTAGATCCTGCAGTAAACCTCATTCCTTTGAGTTGGACAATGTGAGCTTTCCTGGAACGTCGGGCCACAACATAGATGATTTTGAGAAATATTCTGATGCAAATGATAAGCTTGCATTCATGGGAAGGACGTTGATCAAATGGAAGGATTGCTGGACTTTAAAGCTTCCTGGGAACCATTTGAAACGATCAGGCAGCAATTCCCGTGTTCTAACCTTGAGGACAAGGTGAATTTTAGGGCAGGGGGTATTGATAGGCTCCAATCCATCTCACTTATTCTAGAAGGACCCAGAAGAGGAATGACTTGCAAGTGGGTGAAAAACTGGAGTCTGTTAGAGGGGAAATTAGTTAGGAAAATCTATTAGAAGTATGCTATAAATCTAGTTAGAGATAGCCATATAGGCAGGCAGAAGTTTGAGGAAGGATTAGTGGAGAGTATTGGGTCTCTCGAACACCCAAATATCATTTCCTTTTCAGTCATTATCTTTTATTCACATAAAATAGTCTAACTGCAAGGCTGTAACTCTCAGTTTTGTATTCATCACAGTGTTGTTCTATTCACAACAATATGTCAGAAATTCCCAGTTGATTACTCTTGTTTAGTTGCCATATCTTCGTGTGTCTACATGGGAAGAAGTGAGAATTCAGAGCAGGATCTTATCATGTTACTATAACACGATTGGCAAAGGAAATGATATAAAGGGAGGTAGACCAAAATTAACATAATCTGATGTTGTAAAAGATTTGATTTCGTTGAATGTATCACTATG